GCTGGGTGAGCAGGACCACGTGCTAAGCTGCTGGAGCCCACACAAGAGGGACTCAGACAACTCAGATTTCAGCTACCTCTGAAGAAAGCACAGTAGAAGCCGGCAGAGTCTCCACTGTGGTTCCTGGAAGCATGATCAAATATATCTTGGAGACCTCAGATTTGTCGGAAAGCGTTCCTCCTACCCTCGGCGGTCACTTGGAAAATGTTAAGTCTCCATAGCTATGGCCAAAAGCTCCCCACAAAATCCTCTCTGGATCATCCTCACAGTAGTTTCCAATGGGGAGAGCCAGCCCTGAAGCAGTGTTAGCATCATGGCACCACACTCCAGAGATGCCAATGGACAGATTGGTGGGACCAGAGCTGACCTCCTGAGTTTGAATTCTGCTACCCTTCTTAATAGCACTATGACCTTGAACCAGGTACTTAACCTCTTTGAAGCTCCGTGTCCTTGGCTGTCAGATGGGCATAATCGAGTGATTCTGAGGATTACAATAGTAACAGTGCCTGACTCTTAGTAAAAGCTCAATAAATGTCAGCCCTCTGGGAAGACATGGAGTGTTTCACATAGAAGAGGATCTCTGTTATCATTCCAATTCAATGCTTTAAGTAGATATAATAGAACAGTAAAGGGAAATGCACGTAAAGGAATGCTGTTAATGGAACAGTGGTGGAGAACCACCACTTCAGAGGAGCTAAATTTCCCCCCTCAGCTCTGCCAGGGTAAACATCATTACCAGGCTGAAAGCCTTTGCTCTGTTCCCTGATATTTTTAGAGAAAGGAGGAAGCTAGGGCAGTCATACCTCTTCACTTCTCCTCTGACCACGCTGGACTGATTAACGCCAACAGGCAAGGTGAACAGTGCTTAAGGCTATGGACTCTGGAGCCAAGCACTTTGATCCAAACCCTGAGTCTGCTGCTAACTGGCCGTGTGCCCTAAGACTACTTCCTCCACCTCCATACCCCTCAGTTTCTTCATCTGTGAAATTGGGATAACAATAGCATCTACCTTGGGATTTTTGTGAGAATTTACATATGTAACCGTACTTAAGCCTCTGAGAACAGTGCCCCGCAAAGTTGGTGTTGTATGACAGTGATTATAAAATTATTTTATAATTATAAATAATTATAGATTATAAACAGATTATAAAATCTGTTATTATTAAAGAACAATACAATATAAGGAATTGTTCAAATGTACAAAATCATGAAATACTGAGTCAAGACCAAAGTGTCTTGTCAAAGTTGGTGGTCACTAGGCAGTTAATTCTATGAAGACAAGAGCTGGATTTTGTTCCTACTCTCTTTGTTAAGAAAACAAATAGACAAGGCATGAAGCCTGAACTAGTTAGAGGGTATGATGAGGAGGAAAGCACACTAGATTTGGAAGTGAAAACCCTATGTGTGAGCAGCGCTTAGTCCCATTCTAATCTGAGCAGGTGTCTTCACCTTCCTGATACTGTCTCTTCATCATTAAAACAGGGAGGTCAATGAGAGCGTTTCTAAGGTTCACTCCAAATCCAAAATTCTATGTTGCTAGGTAGCCTTTGAAGTTTTACAGAAGACAATATAATTATGGCTATCGAAGTCTTTTTTATGTACCTAGGATTACAAGTTGAAGACAATGCCATTTGTTTGTGTTTTCTAAGTCATAATGCAAGAATCTGAACTATGAACAGATCTTTAAATCCATGAAAATGGATTATCTTTAGCACAATTGATAACTTTTAAACCTCTCCGATTGTGAGAATAAAACTGATAAGGACATCTTTCCATCCATTTTAAGTGAATTTTTACAGACTCTGAGAATAAAACATAATCCAAAGGCATCTAATGCTAATTTATCATTAACACAGAGAGATTGAAAGTAGAACTCTTGTGGAGTTTAGCTTAGCAATTCTCAACTAAATGAAATTAAGCTGATTTAGTTGAGCTTTTGAGACATCAGAGTGGAAGGCATAAGTCCAAAAGATTTGGGGGAATAGCACCAAGACTGCCTGTCTTCAGATTGTGGGCTGGAAACGAGCTTCGAGAGGCTTGTCTGCTGAGGATCAACTGCCTTCGTAGGTTTGATACATTGGGTAGAGACACAAAGATTTCACTTGGGGAAAAAAAAAAAGATTCTGTGGTGGAAAATAAAAAGAAAAAAAAAGGTGAGATGATTATTTGAAATCAAAAGTCTGGACTAAGAACACTGGTTTTGGGTTAAACAAAATTTAAATTTTAGTTCTGCTACTTTTTCGCTACATGACCTTGGGCTGGTTGTTTAATCTCCCTGAGCCACACTTTGCACATTTAATAATGTCTCTTACTTCATGGGGTTTCTGTGAGGATTAAATGAGATCATACATGTAAAGTATTTGGCCCTCAACCTCTAGAACATAGGAAGCACTAGATAAATGGTGGTCATACTTACTCTCCTAAATGAACGACGGGGCAGGCCATCAATATTCCCCTCTGGTGAGCTTCTCGGTGCTCCCTTTGGAATGCCTCAGAGTTGTCAGAAGCACTCTTTAAGCCTTCTGCAATCACAGTTTGGGTCCAAACCTCCGTCTTTCTCGTGAGCCCTAAAATACCTATGGGTTTTTTTCCCCAAGATCTATTCATGGTTTTATGTGGGCACTGGACAAAGGCTCACTTTGTAAGACTGTCCATCTAGGTTAAAAATAAATATGCAGAAATGTGTGGAACTTCAACAATAGAATATAAGGAAAATAGATTATTCTTAGCTGAAAACAAAGACATTCTAGTAACTGAATGTGTTTGTAAATACATTAAAAAAAGGAACACCAACATGGTAGCAACAGTTACATCTGAGGAAGATTGGGGAAGAGGTGGGATTTACCTTAGCATTGTCTTAATGTTTTACACATTTATTTGCATGTTGGCTGTATAATTAAAAAGCAAACAAACAAACAAACAAAATGCCTGAAACCAAACAAACAAAAAAGCAAAGCCCAAAGCAAAAGTCATGGTACAAAATGACATGAACTTTTGGAACAGAGAACTTGTATACCAGTAGACAAGAATCAAGGAATTTATCTTTGGGTCTGTCCATAACTTCTTACAAAGTCACATTCTGCTGATTTTGCTGTCCTTGAGGAGTAAGGAGACCAGTAGGGGGATTTCTGATTCTATCTCCAGCAACTGATAAACCCAGGTTAAGAGGCAGTTGAAGCTGCCGGCCGGAAAATCTTGGTACAGACCTCTTTCTCTCTGCCAAATAGATAAAACCCTGGCTAGTTCTTTGCAAAATTCAAGGTCAACAGAGGTGCCAACTGAAGACGATTGGTAAATTATGCTTTTAAGCAGGAAGAAACCAGATGGTAAATTATACATCTGTTAGTACATTTTGATAGTAAAGAAAATAAGTGACAACTTAAAAAAAAAATTCTACTTAACAGCTACTTGGTTGATAAAAAAAATGCCTAACTGAGGAGTTTTAAAATATCACCCTCATTCCCCTCCCACCAATACCACTAAATAAATTCATTAATTCAAAGAGAGTAAAGAGTTTAAGCACTGAATTATGGGCTATGACATTTTTTTTTTTATTATTAGCAAAACATTTGTTTGCTGTTGGAGATTAGTTTTCACAACGGGCCCATTCCTTGGAAAGAAACATTTTGGCTACAGGGATAACCAAGAAACACTGCCGAGCTCTGAGAAGTTGCACTGACTTGCTTTGGTTGAGCCTGCAGTCTCCACTAGTGAGGGATCTCCAGGAGCAGCAGGAAGGGCAGGGTGGTTTTGCCTTGGTTTTAATGCAGATGTTTTGGCCCATGGACTTGAGGGAAGGTTGTGCTTTATCAATGAGATGAGACAGTCAAAGGGAGCCTATGCCTGCCCTCTAGCTGGGCCTGACTTACTGCTTCCAGAACTGCCTTTCCAGCTTGCCCATTTGGTACAGGGTGGTGGTCTGGTCCAGTGTGTAATTCATTGTGTTCCGCTGGCGGGTTAAGTGAAAGGCTGTGCCTCAGGCACAGCACAGAAAGGACCTGAATGAAGGGCGGGAAGAATGAATGGAGAGAGCCATTTTGATGGCATTGCCCTAGGGGATTAAATAGGACAGGGCATCTGGGGGCTGAAGGAAGGTTCTGTTGCTTACGAAACTCTCCATAAGAGTATCAGTCATCAGTCCCTTAACCATCATACATTTCTTACCTCCCACTTGTGTATAAATCTGCAGGTTTATGCAGACCACCAGCGTGACTATTACAATGCATTCGGTTTATGGTGAAACACACAAAAAAAGACCTTTCCTTTTTTTTTTTTTTTTGCTCATTTATAAGCAAAGTGATGTTAACACCCTGAATGGAAGAACAAGGAATTGAAGGAATAAATATATACAGCAGCATAACCCCATCTTGTCACTTGGATTCAGACTATCCGCTGTTCTCTCGAAAAGAAAGGCAGTCATACCAAGCAACATTGAGGCAACTTGAAACAGAGAATTTAAAACGCTGGATTCCATCATTTCTGCAAAAGGTCATTCTAGTCCTTTGCTATTTTTACCATAGACAGAGACTCTGCAAGTTACTGGCTTTGGGAAGCCGAAGCTGTGGCTTCTAATGAAGATGGCAATAAGGCACTTGAGACAGTCAATGAAAGGTGTGGAAAAAGTTGAACCCTTCAAAGATAAGAGAGAGGAGAGCTACTGAATTAGTCCCTGACTGAATTACTAGCCATAATTGTACCCCGGGCCAATTCCCTTTGACACTGCCTGTCATCTTGTGGCTTTGAGAAATTCCCATTCCAGGCTCAAACCCTCTCTAAGGCAGCCCAGCCCACCCCCATCCTCTGAAAGCAACTGTTCCGAGGCGCCCCCACCCACAAATTTGCATCAAGACAGGTATAATTCCCGGCTGGACCACGGCTTCCAGAAGCCCGCCTTTCCTTCGGGGTTCTGCAAGACAACCTAAGGCTTATCCCAGGCCGGCAATCAAAAGCATTTCAGAGAAGAGCAGAAAACAAAAGAAACAAACAAAACCTGTCCTTACCCGCTTCTTAAAAAATTGGAAGGCTGAGCATTTCTTGACTGGGAATCCATTCATGTCTTTGTTTACCATTTTCCACAGTAGGGAGTTCACAGTTATAGATCCAGGGTGGCACCGCCTGGTGAGTGCAGGGGGTCCCCGGCTGCCCTCCCGGACACAGCGAAGACGGAGCGGGATGGAGAACCTAGCGGGGCTCCGGTCTTCACTCACACATTTTGCAGCGCCGCTACTGCAGCAACCTCTCCCCACTCTCAGTTGCCACGGGCAGTGGCTTTGCGCTTCCCATCGCTGCTCCGAAACGCGGGCATCGGCGCGGCCGGCCCCTCAGGCTGCGGCGGATCCCGGGGAGATGCTCTGCGGCTGGCGAGCCGGAGAGGGGCACCCCCTGCGCGCCCCCGGCTACCTGGCGGCTCTGCGGCGGGCGCGCGGAGCCCGCCGCCCGGCTCCAGGTGATGCGCGGCTGGAGGCTGCTCCGGAGGAGACCTGTTTTTATGAGCGTGCAAGTTCCAGTGGGAGCTGTAGTTAAGCAGCTGAGAGAAGGAGTAAGAAAGAGCAGAAGCCGAGGGAGGGAGGGAGAGCAGCGCCAGAGAGGCAGAGAGAGAGAGAAAGCGCTGCTGAAGACGCAGCGATTCAGGAATATCTGAGCAGCCCGCGGACAGAAGGCACCGGCTCAGGACGCACTGAAAAGCGGTTGACAACCCCTCGGGAGGGCTACTTTGATAGCGTGTTTCTTTTCTTTTTGTTGTTAGGACCATTTAAATCGGTTTCCTATGAAATGCAGACCGTTTTTGTTTTATGCTCATTGGCATTCTTTTGATACGTATTACTGAATATAACAAGTCTCTCAATGGAAATTTAATCAAATTCATTCCCGATCTGTCCAAATGGGGAGAAAAATGAAATAAGGTGCAAGGGTAGGTAGAACAATGGAGGCTCTCATACTAACTATATAGAACCTCTTCTAGTGTCTTCTCCCCACTTGTCATCATGGAGTGGGCAACAGTGAAAGTAATTGCCTTTTTCCCTAAAGAGGGCTGTTAAAAAAGAACACAATGGACATACACAAAGTGTCTTATGGTAAAACACACAAAGAGCATTACCAAAAAGTATTACTGAAACCATCTGATGGAAAGGAAGCCCTGATGAATGACAGGAAAGCCTTTACCTATCGAGTGGAAATCTACCCCCGAAATCCTTACCCACGTCATTCTTTGCATATTAAATTCATTTTTAAAACACCACTTAATTTGTGTGACCTATTCCCCCATCTTTACTCTTTAATGTTGATATTTTATGGAGACTTCTAAAAAATGAGAGTTGATGGGTAAATGGAGAGAGCAAAGAAAAGAAACTTGGCTTCTGATCTGGCCTGCTAGCACGTCCCTGCGTGGCTTTCTGTCAGTCACCTGACCTCATGGTGCCTCTCAGACAGTGCCTCATCCAGGACATGGAGGCAACTGCTCATTCATTCCTTTCTTCCTTTACTCATTCACTTATTTAGTCATTCACTTGTTTGCTGTGTCATTCCATGTATCCATCAAATCAAATCCAAATGTACCAAGTGTCCCCAGGATGCAGAGCTTTTTCATAGTCACCAGGGAGTGTAATCAATAAATAAGTAGGCAAGTGCCTACTTGATAAAACAAATGTCCAGCTCATTAAAAACAGTATACCTAGAAGAGAAACATACAGGTCAATTGGGAAGAGATGCATTGATTTCATTGAATTGAGGTATAAATCTCTGTAGCTGGACTAGGTTTCTTTGGGAAATGACAGTGCAATCTGATTTGCTAAATGCTTTGAGATTTCCAAAAGAAAAACGCCACACAACCAAATGATGGCATTATGACTGAGAGAAAATAAGCCATTCATTTTGGAGAGATACGTTAAGTTGTCCAAGATGCAAAGATATGTTATTTAATCTACAACATCGATCAGTTTTGTGGTTCTTCTAAAGAGTTCATTTACAATTCCAGTAGTTCAAAGAGAATTTTTGAGCATTGTAGAAATGTTCCCTACCATGATTATGATAGTAGTTTTATGACCATGCATTTGTCAAAAGTCATCAAACTTTATATATGAAAGAGGAAGCACATTTTGTTGTATGTAAGTTATAGTTCAATAAACCTGATTTTTTTAAAAAGATTTTATTTATTTATTTGAGAGAGAATGAGAGATGAGAGCACAAGGGGGAAGAGGGTCAGAGGGAGAAGCAGACTCCCTGCTGAGCAGGGAGCCCGATGCGGGACTCGATCCCGGGACTCCAGGATCATGACCTGAGCCGAAGGCAGTCGCTTAACCAACTGAGCCACCCAGGCGCCCAATAAACCTGATTTTTAAAAAGCATGACCATCCAAATTATTTCCTGTTCTTCATCTTTCTTCTCTCCTGAAAGCATTTGAACAGATACTTGCTGAGTTTGAGGGATACCTAGAAGGAGCTCTCTAAGCATCCTGTGGGAAAGGGACGCTAGGGGCCTTGCCTTGGTTCTACACTGGCCTAGCACGCATACTGGTTTTAAGTGCCCTGTATGTTTACTTGGGGTAAAGAAGGGATGGCTAATAGAAACTATGGGGGAAGAGGTAAAGGTAAAGTTAAATCCTCTCTCTCCTCCCCACTATATGCCATCCCTTGGAGATGTCGCCACTGTCTCTGAGTCTATGCTAATCCTTTGGAGGAGTCTGTGAATACAAATATCAGTAGTTTCTGTCCCTAAGGAAGTTACAGCCTAGTGGAGAAATATACACTGTGGTAAGAAATATACACTGTGGTAATCGTTGAAAGCTATATCAGGAACGAGTGCCGCACTCTATGTTGGCTAGTTGAACATAATACTAATAAAACAAGAAGAATACCTCTAGCTATACCAACATTATCCCCACCTTGGTTTGGAGGGTGGCAAAGTGGCTTAGAGCGGGTAGGGGAGGCCCGGGAAGTGTTTTTTCAAAGGGACAATGTTAGTGCAAAGTGTCAAAGAAAGAGTAGAAGTTGACCACATGTAGGAGAAGAAGCATAGGGCAGAGGTGCTGGCCAGATCAGGAAGCCTATTACTTTGGACCGTATTTTGGTCACTGCAATAAATAGAGAAATGTTTTAAGTGTTAAGCCAACACTGTGTTGGCTCCTCAGGGAAAAGAAGACATTTCTCATCTCACTCTCACCTCTGTTTTTATAAAATCACCTGCAGGTAGGCCTAGAGTGACCACCATGTACTAACTGTCTCTTTTGCCAGGCTTCTTACCACTTATGACGTAGCACAGACCACTGCTTACGGCAAAAAGGAAAATCAGGATTCTTCAAACATCCTGTTTGCACATAAACTTGCTTTATTAATTTAATTAATTTATTTACCTGCTTTTCTCATTAAACATGCTTATTCATTTTTGTAGCCCCAACACACTGTGGAGTGCCTGGACCATGCTTGGCAGTCAATGAATGGTTTTCAAATAAATCAAATAAAAAACTGTGAAAAGCTAACTAACATCAGTGACCCTGGCACAGTCCATCTGTGGGAATCGTTAAACACCTTTGAGATTCTGAAACAATTAAGTGAATTCCCATCATAACCAGTGTACTGAGCTCTAGTAAGAACAAAGGACCCGCGGTTGTCACCATTTCTTCTTTAAGCCTCAGTGACATCACGACCCTGGGATGACACATCTTTTTATGGAAAACTCTAATGTTGAAAAGAATCCCTTGAAACTCTGTTTGCTTTTGTGCAGTATATTCACTTTTTTTCTCCCAACAATATTGTTTGAACTATAACACAAAAAATAAAATAAAGTGGCTGGGTAGAACTGATGACTCATCTATACAGGAGGTGGAGAGAGTGCTCAGTGGATGTGGAAGGTATGGTGACCTCCGTGTGACCTTGAACAAGTCCCTTCAGTTCAGTGAACCTCGGTATTCTCATCTGTAAAATACTACTATAAAATGCATCCCATTTACCTCGTAAAGCAATTGTCAGTACCAAATTATGTGTGAAAAGGCTTTGCAAAACAATAAATAACTCTACATTTTTATTGTACTGAAACAAGAAACATATACCACTGTAGTACTTTTTTAGAAAGCTTATCTTTCCATAGATTAAAGTGTTTTTTGTGATACATTAGTCATCAAATGGAATGTGATTTTTTTTTTTCCTAGAGCAACCTGGAAGACACAAAAGATAATAAACAATAAAATATCTGTCTAGTGACAAATGTCTCTAAGGAGAAAGGGACACAAATAGACCATATCATGAGAAATATTTTACATTCCTCTTTGGCCTGGATGACTTGATCATATGCTTAAAACTCCAGCCTAAATGGTAGTGATGTATGTAATTAAGAATTAGGAAAGCCCATCGGGGATTCTGGTATTGTTTTTGTGTATATGAAAACCTTTTTAGAAAAATAAACAAAAAAAATCAGAATCCTTTGGTTTAATCAAACTAGATTTCATTTAATTCATGCATTAGGTCAAAGGAAAAGTTACAAAAGAAAAACCAAACCTAAAATATCAGTTCATTGCATCTTTTCTTTGAGAGGATTATGTACAAATAAAAAGAATCAACACCAGGGTGGGTTCATGGCCTTTTGTAGAAAAGATGCAAGTAGCAAGGGGTTGTCCTTCCTTTTGTAGATAAGAGATCGAATAAGGATAAAATGCTTCATACTTAAAATTTGTTTCCATCCTCACTATGCTAAAAAATAGGCAATTTATAAACATACAGCTTCCTGATAGAGTCAGTATTTATCAACTATATTCTTCTAACTGGGAAAAAATTCAAAAAATAGTGTTACCTGCCTTGATACTATTTATTACATGTCAAGTATGTGCTAGTCCTTATACTTATGAGAAAAAGACCAAGAAAAAAGACCTGCATTTGGGCGCCTGGGTGGCTCAGTCAGTTAAGCGACTACCTACGGCCCAGGTCATGATCCCAGAGTCCCAGGACTGAGTCCCAGGATTGAGTCCCGCACATCGCATCGTCTCCCTGCTCAGCAGGGTGTCTGTTTCTCCCTCTGACCCTCCCCCCCACTCCCTCTCTCTCTCAAATAAATAAATAAAATCTTAAAAAAAAAAGACCTGCACTTGTCTTGGCAAATCACAT